GAGTCTGAGATTCTTCTGCCAACTGCAGGGGTGGGGCTCGGGTTGCCCTGAAGATCATAAAGAATGTGGAAAAGTACAAGGAAGCAGCTCGACTTGAAATCAATGTGCTGGAGAAAATCAATGAGAAGGACCCTGACAATAAGAAGTAAGCAAGCAAAGGAGTATGTGGGGAGTCTGAGAGGCTCCACCCCTTCACAGGAAAACCTTTCTGACTGAGTTAGGCAGGCAGGGGAGTCTAGAACTTCTCATCCATTCATCTTTTGTTCATCATCTTAGAGTAGTAGAACACTAGGGCAGGAAGGGAGGGTCAGTGACATTCTCTAATCCATTCTCCTTGTTTTCAAGGCAGTTAGATTGCTCTGCAGCTTGGCCCTGCCCAGGATGGCCTCTGTATAGAGAAATGCCCTGGAAATGGCACTGAGACTGAGAGTTGACGTTTTCTTCAAAAAAATGAGCTTTTAATACCCAGAACTATGCTATGGGACCACAGACATTTATGTATAATATTTCTGTTCACACACATTTCATAAGCCAAATAAAGAATAAGAGCATTGAACAAAGACACAAGAAGACAATAGGTATAAACATGGTCCCAGTGGTGGCTGATGGTGAGTGAATTTCAGGAGTGGGAGCTGGGGTTGGGGTTTAGGAGTGACAGTCTGACTTCAGGGTCGACGCTAGAGCCTGGTGCTCATCAGCTCTTCAGCAAATAGAGTTTTTGAAACTTTGAAATGTTGGAGGAAAATGGTTTGAATCTTGGCAGGTAGTACCTCTCATGTAGGGTCTGCCAGGTAGTACCTCTCATGTAGGGTCTGCCAGAAAAGCCATACCCTAGCTAAACTGGATTTTGTTGGTAATAGTAGCCAGCATGTCTTTCTACAAGTATGTGGAATCCACAACTACAGGCCATCCTTGTTGGAGGGGTGGTGGGCAGATGAGCGCTCATCAGACACCCCCCTTCCCTCATCTCTCTTCCCAGCCTCTGTGTCCAGATGTTTGACTGGTTTGACTACCATGGCCACATGTGTATCTCCTTTGAGCTTCTGGGCCTTAGCACCTTCGATTTCCTCAAAGACAACAACTACCTGCCCTATCCCATCCACCAAGTGCGCCACATGGCCTTCCAGCTCTGCCAGGCCGTCAAGTGTGAGTGGGGTGGGCCAAGGTGGATTCTGGGGCAACCTCTCCCATTGGACCCCTTCTATTGCAGTTGTGCACTAGTGAAGCCCCTCAACAGCCAACCTGATTATCTGCCGTTCTTTCATTCACTGTCATGTTGACATCTCTACTGACACACTCCTTGACTGATGTCCTCACCATCACTGATTGCCTTTACTCCATCTCCAACCTCGCAGTAGCTGAAGGGAACACCTTCAGAATCAAAGCACTTAATTACTTCTTTTTTCCTTCATTCTCTTTCCTTGGGGAAGTGTAAGTCAGGCAGCAAGCACAAAGAGACGAAAGGACTCCTGGAACTAGAGGTTTAACATTTGTTAAAACCCCCCACGGCATGAGCTAAGGGACTCTCCATTCCCAGCAAAGCAGGTGGGAACAGGGAGCAGTGCAGTCATGGGGCCAGGAAGGGAAGCCATACTAGTAAACACGTGAATCCTCGAGTCTTCATAGCAGTTCAGTTCTACAGAGTTCAATTCACAGAACATGAGGCACACATCAAAGTCAGTGCACAAATATAACCTGTAGGAAACTTTATATACATCAATTGAAAATTACATATATACTATTCATAAGCATAGGGCTTCTTAGACCAGGCATTTCATTTTGGATGTAGAACAGAAAGCAGCCTAGTGATTCTGGACCTGCCTTCTCATCAGCTTTGAGCTAGGTGACCAAGCCTGGGGTCAGCTGGTGAAAGCCCAGCTCACCTGGACCACTGGTGACTTGGCCTTCTCCCCTGCAGTCCTCCATGACAACAAGCTGACACATACGGACCTCAAGCCTGAAAATATTCTCTTTGTGAATTCAGACTATGAACTCACCTACAACTTAGAGAAGGTAAGCTGGATGGGGTCTCCCCTGGCCCTAGGGGCAGGCAGCTGTGCCACTGCCTTTCCCTTAGCCCTTCCTGGCCTCCCTTTTATGTCTCACCCACATTTTCTCCTGGTCTGGCTCCAACTGAGTAAAACCAGAGTACTGGAATAGATTGAAAGGGAGAAATTTAAGAAGACTTAAGTTGGAAGAGAACTTGCAAAAAGAAGCTCAGATAACTACAGTAAGAGTAAAAATGCTTTTAAGATTCTTGGTTTGGACTTTTCTGTAAAGAAGGCTCCCCCTTCCTCAATCCTTTTGCTACCTATTGTGTTTTCAGAAAAATGGTACACCAGTCACTTTGGGCACAGTTCTCAGATACAGAGTTTTGCATACCATTCCATAGTCATTCCAATTTTTCCTCCCCCACTCCTGAAATAATCTGCTGGATATGAGGGAGGCTTTAAAGAAGGAGATTGTCCAGTATGTGTGGGATCAAGCAGGAGGTCTGAGTTGCTTTTTTAAGGCTTAGCAGCATTTTGGAGAATAGTGGTAGACTCTCCATCTGAGGTGCAGAGTTTCATTCTCCTACTGCTTTGTTCCTAGAAGCGAGATGAACGCAGTGTGAAGAGCACAGCCGTGCGCGTGGTAGACTTCGGCAGTGCCACCTTTGACCATGAGCACCATAGTACCATTGTCTCCACTCGCCATTACCGAGCACCAGAGGTCATCCTCGGTAAGGTGGGGGATGGGGGAGAACACGATTGTCCAAGTATGTGAGGGGTGTGGTAGTAAGGGTTGGGCCCTAAGCCTCAGAACACCCTTTTCCTTACATTCCTACTCAGAATTGGGCTGGTCACAGCCATGTGATGTGTGGAGCATAGGCTGCATCATCTTTGAGTACTATGTTGGCTTCACCCTCTTCCAGGTAAGTGGTGGAGTGACTTAATGTACTCGCCTCTAATTCTTCGGCTTGATTTCCTCTGCCTGTTCACTCCTCCATAATTGCTCATCTTCCTGGCAGCTTAGTCCTCAGCGTCCCCTTCTCAGTCCCATGCCCAGTTCTCTTTTTTTTTAGACCCATGACAACAGAGAGCATCTAGCCATGATGGAAAGAATCTTGGGTCCTATCCCTTCCCGGATGATCCGAAAGACAAGGTAAACCTTCAGTGGGAGGGACTTAACTCTTAAACCGTTTCTCTCCCAAAATTGGTCTATTTCACATCGCTTTCTTTTTTCTTTGACACCTCCCCTCCCTCAGCTACTCTCAGATAGGGGAATAAGGGAAGTATCCCACAACAAGAGGAACCCCCTGATTCCTCAACTTCCCCTTCCCCTCTAGGAAGCAGAAATATTTTTACCGGGGTCGTCTGGATTGGGATGACAACACATCAGCTGGGCGCTATGTTCGAGAAAACTGCAAACCACTGCGGGTGAGCCAGGTTGGGGATAAATAGTGCCCACCACCCAGAGGTCTCTTCCTTCTTAAGCTGGTTTGCCCCTGGAATGCACTTCACAAGCAGAGAGTTAAGGGAACAAGGGGAGGAAAAGTGAAAGAAGACATCTTTGGTCAGTAGAAGAGAGATGAGAGGGAGTGGTTTTATGGAGGGAAGGACGTTAGACAGTCACGTCTTTCTTTAGCCAACCAGCGTGCAAAGCAGTGTCTTGGATCCTTTAGGTCAGACAGAGAATAACCTAGCTTTGAAGAGCTTACATTTTAATGAGGAGCTAAAAAAAGATTCATGAGGTTGACAAGGATATACAAGTAGAACTTTCAGAGAGTATGGAGGAGTACTTGTGCTACGGGAATGTAGGTTGTTCTGTGACATCAGAAACATTGCTCATGGTGTGGTCAGAGTAAGGTAGCATTCATAATGGTTGCAAGCAGAGCCTTGGTCCTCCAGGATGGAAAGCTAGGACCTTGAAGAAGACAGGGTTTTTGTAAGGCATCATGCCTCACGTTTTTCCTGCCATCCATCACCAGCGGTATCTGACCTCAGAGGCAGAGGAACACCACCAGCTCTTCGATCTGATTGAAAGCATGCTAGAGTATGAACCTGCTAAGCGGCTGACCTTGGGTGAAGCCCTTCAGCATCTTTTCTTCAGCCGCCTTCGGGCTGAGCCACCCAACACCAAATTGTGGGACTCCAGTCGGGATATCAGTCGGTGACGATCAGGCTCTGGACCCCTCTGCATTTCTTATAGCAGTGGGTGTCCAGTCCAGGACACTGGTGCTTTTTTATACAAGAGGACAGAGCTGGAGCCAACTCCTTCATCCTGGCTCCCTGTATACCTGTGAATATGTGAAATAGTGTAAATATGAAATAACTTGTACCTATTGCTTCAACCCCTGCCATGTACAGAATGCTATTCCATCCCACACACTTTCCATCCTCACCTGCCCCTTCACAGCTGAATTGGATGGGGGCAGAATGAGATAACCAGGTGGCCTCTATCCCCATGTTTTATAAGGAATTTTGTACAGTCTTTGTGAAATAAAAATGACGTGCTTCATCTGATCCCCAACCCTGAAGTTTGAGGTTTGGGAATGCAGGGGTGGAGGGATGAGATTGGCAGCTTTTCTGAGTTTGGATATGAAGAGAATCCCATTTTACCCTCCACGATTAACCAGAGCCAGGCCACCAGTTTGTCTAGTTTGTCTCAGGAGAGTGTAGTGATGGGTGAGATCTCTTGCAGGTTAGAATTGTGGTTATAAGGTGTCACTTCTCTGATCTGGAATAAGGAGGGTTGGGAAAGAGGTCCAGATACTGCAGCGTTTAGCCTGGGCCCCAGTTCGCAGCCAGACACCCAGGTTTGAAAAAAAACTGGGACCTTGGGAGCTCCAGTTGGACAACTCCCAACGTACATCTCAGCAGATTGGTGCGGAAGGGATTTTGACGCGAGGCTCGCTGGGAGGTGTAGTTCGTTAGTGAGGGGAAGTCACGTGGTGAGGGGGCGGTATTTGACTACCGGGACTGGGTTAGAGGTCTCACGTGGCGCACTTCCGCTTTTGCTTTTAGCTAAGACGCAGGCGCGACTAGCTGCTACTGCGGGGATCCCTCCGACCCTTCCGGTCGGTACAACCAATCCGTGCACCGAGAAGCGGGGCGGACCGAGAGCCGCTGAGGGAGCTCAGAGCCACTGCCACGGCAGGGGCGTGGAGTGCAGGGGCGGCCCAGGCGGCAGTTGTAAATATGGCTCAAAACAGAGACGGCGGAAACCCCTTCGCCGAGCCCGGCGAGCTTGACAACCCCTTTCAGGTGACTTGCGGCAGCCTTCCTTTGGGCATTTGGGTTGACTCTTCTCGGTTCTGGACGCTCGGGCTAACTTGTATTCCCATTCGTGACATATCCGGGGAAGGGCCGCCACGTGGGGGTAACGATGACCAGACCAGTGAGCTCCTTGGGGGTGGGCCCTGCCCCTGTTAGGAGATGGTACTGGCAGTGTAGGGTGAAGGACTGGGGGCAAATGTTGAGACAACAGCGTGGCCCCCAAGGTGCAGTCCTTAGAACCACTGTTAATTTAGAAGAGGCCTCTGTGAGTTCTCCCAGAGGCACCAGGTGCCACCTGAACCCTAGGTCTCTGTTCTCAGGACCCAGCTGTGATCCAGCACCGACCCAGCCCGCAGTATGCCACGCTTGACGTCTACAACCCTTTTGAGGCCCGGGAGGTGAGATCCTAGACAGCACAGTAGAAAAAGGAAGGAGAAGGTGTACCAATAAGCCCACTTTGTCCGGGTATAGGGAACTTTATCTGCATGCAAAAGAAACAAGAAGCACTAGTGATTTTAGCTCCCCGAGAAAGGCCAGTGCGCTGTGGGATGCCTTACCTTTCTGGAGACACCAGGACCAATGATCCATCCAGTTTAAACTCTAAATGTCAGTCCTGGGAGGACCTGTAGTCTGGCATGGGGCATGGCCTGAAGGAAGGCTTTGTCTGCGGAGACTTCTTTGAGAAAAGTAAAGCATGGGGCTGTTTGGAGTTGAGAAAACAGCTATGCTTATGTGTGCAATTAAAATGCAAGGAATGAGAAGGACTAGACCGATTGGTCTCACTGGAATAGAGAATGGTAAGAGCTTTGCATAGTTAAGGGGGTAGATGTAGTAGATGAGTGACTTGAGTCCTGGCTAAGGAATTTGATGTGAGGGCTGCTGAGGGCAAGAATTCTGACATAAACTGAACACAAGAACTAGCTTTGTAACAACCGGGGGAGGGCCTGCGGCCTTAGGTAATGAGCTCTAGGTCTAAAGGTTTTCAAGTAGACTCTAGATATCCTGTGTTATAAGGGATTAGATAATCCTCAAGTCTTTTCCAAACCCGGCAGCCACCACCATCCTATGAGCCTCCTGCCCCTGCCCCATTGCCTCCACCCGTGGCTCCCTCACAGTCCTCCAGGAAGCTCAGCCCCACAGAACCCAAAAACTATGGCTCGTACAGCACCCAGGTAAGGGGGATGGAAGTTGGGATTGGGGAGCAGGGCAACCCCAGTGCCCAGGACTCATGACTGCCCTCTGCCCATACTGTTCAGGCTTCAGCTGCAGCAGCCACGGCTGAGCTGCTAAAAAAGCAGGAGGAGCTCAACCGGAAGGCAGAGGAGTTGGACCGGAGAGAGCGAGAGCTGCAGCATGCTGCCCTAGGGGGCACAGCTAGTAAGTGGGTCCTTGGTAGGGTTGGGGCAGACATCTACAGTTGTGAAGGAGCAGAGAGAACCTAAGAGCATGGGCTCTGAAGCCAGATTGCTGAGTTTGAATTTGGGCACCATGGCTTACTAACCAGAGGCTGTTAGACAAATAACTTAATCTTGAGCACCTCAGTTTCCTTACTTGTAAAGTGAGAATGTTTGTACCTGCTTGACAGGATTGTTGTAAGGGTTAAACAAGGTCATCTATACAGAGTTCTTGGTAGTGCTCAAAAGTTGTAAATAATAACTCTCACTAACTGTTAATATTATTGATGCCACTGTCCCTTGTCTCCTTGGACCTCAGCTTGAACCTAGAGGACCTGGGGGTGGATGGAAGGGGTAGTAATTCCATTGTTGGCCTCTGTCTCACTGCTGGTATCATCCTGCTCTCTCTCTCTGCCCTACAGCTCGGCAGAACAATTGGCCCCCTCTACCTTCTTTTTGCCCAGTTCAGCCCTGCTTTTTCCAGGATATCTCCATGGAGATCCCCCAAGAATTTCAGAAGACAGTATCCACCATGTTCTACCTCTGGATGTGTGAGTAGTGGGAAGCCTTTTTGGAGGAAGAGTACAGATACTAACTTACACGTCTTTCTTGCCCTGGGGCCCACTCACCTAAAGCTACACATTTCACTGCTCCTTAACATTTGAGTTTAAGGCTGATTTCTCCAGGGATCATCCTGGGTTACTTCTTAGACAGTATTCTCCAGCCTTCTAGCAGATACAAGTTCTTTCCCTCTTCCTCTTTCCCTTTCCCTTTCCTCATGCATGAATGTATTGAGTCCTTTAAATGTCTTTGCCAAGGGGATCATGCGTGATTGGGATTTGCTCGTTCTGTCTCCACTGTTAAGGTTCTGTGAAGACAAAAGCTGCCTTCCTTTCCTTATTCTGCCACTTCTGGGGGTGGGGAGGAGACTCTTCTATGGAAAGGGCTTTTATTGCCAGCCAGAAGGGGACCCATCATCCTGTTCCTGCATCCCTTAGGCAGCTCTCTGGCTCTTCTCCTGAATTTCCTCGCCTGCCTGGCCAGCTTCTGTGTGGAGACTAGCAATGGCTCAGGCTTTGGGCTCTCCATCCTCTGGATTCTTCTTTTCACTCCCTGCTCCTTTGTCTGCTGGTATCGCCCCATGTATAAGGCTTTCCGGTAAGTTGTGGGTTGTGGGTAATATGGGACCTAGGATGGGCCCCACATCTGTTCCTCCTGCCCTAATTCTTCTCCCACCTTTCCCATTTTTTTCCCTTGCAGGAGCGACAGTTCATTCAATTTCTTCGTGTTCTTCTTCATTTTCTTTGCCCAGGATGTACTCTTTGTCCTCCAGGCCATTGGCATCCCAGGTTGGGGGTTCAGGTCCGTGAGGCTGCCATCCACCCTCACCCCTTCCTCCTACTCCTCTAGACCAAGTCAGCACTGGGTACTGGGGAAGGAGTTGTTCAAAAAAAGGATATTCTTGGGAGGTGTTAGTTTGACAAGAAAGACAGGACAGACAGAACTTATGACAGTTTAGAACAGAGAGAGCCCACATAGAACTTGAGACAGGCATAGGTTGAAAAGAAGACAACTGCATGTGGTCAATCTGAGAAGGCTTCCTGGAGGAGGCATATGTAACTGGTTGAAAGGGGGCAGAATTCTCAATGGAAAGGTCCGTTTGGAGTGAGGATGTCTGGAAGAGCTTGGAGAGTTAGGAGCAAATGGTTTAGAAGCTGGATGAAACTATGAGAAGAGTGGATGTTGTTTGGGATTATGGTTTGTGGAGAGCTGTCAGACTGGGGAACGACCCCTGACGTGGGGATAGAGCATGTTTCCAACAGTGTGACATAACCAGTCAGGCTGGGAGGACAGAGATTCAGATGTGAGCAGCCCCTCTTCACTTGCCACATATTTTCCTTTCCTTACAGTGGCTGGATCTCCACTCTGGTGGTGCTAAAGGTCAACACAGCTGTAGCTGTGCTCATGCTGCTGGTTGCCCTGTTCTTCACTGGCATCGCTGTGCTGGGAATTGTGATGCTAAAGCGGGTGAGGGGCTGTGTTAAAGATGGGGCCAGGAGAGTGAGATCATGTGTCCCTGGGGGCCTGGGTGGAACATGCAGGAGAAACTAGGGAGGGCGGGTTCTCAGCTAATGGACCTCTGGCGGGGGTGTTTTTGGGGTGTATGTGTGTGTGTATAGCGCCAAGAGGGAACAGAGAAGAGCTAGAGCAGCATGCTGGTCATGGTGGTGATGGTGTTGGGTTGGAGTTAGGTAGCAGTGGCCAGAAAGTACTGTAATGTCTTTACCTTCTACTTGCAGATCCACTCCTTGTACCGCCGCACAGGTGCCAGTTTTCAGAAGGCCCAGCAAGAATTTGCTGCTGGTGTCTTCTCCAACCCTGCAGTGCGAACCGCAGCTGCTAATGCAGCCGCTGGGGCTGCTGAAAATGCCTTCCGGGCCCCATGAACCCCAACTGGGATGCCCTGTCCCTGTCACTTGAGGGAACTAACTTAGCCCCCATCCCTGAGCTCCTTGGGACTTGGTGAGACATCACTACTTGATGTTTCCTCTATAGTGCCCCCAGTCCCACAGCTGATTGCTGAAATTGACTTGGGGGTACAGAGAGCCCAGTGTGACCTGTCACTGCCTCCCACCCCCAACCCCTATCAGGCCACACTACTGCCACCTCTTACACACCCCAACCCAGCTTCCCCCTGCTGTGCCAAGGCTGTTACTTCGGTTATTTAAATAAAGTGGAACTGGAACTCACATCCCCGTGTCTGGAATTTTTACTGGGAACTAGGCCTTACGGAAGAGAAAGCGTGGAGGGGACTGGAGTGCAAGTAGAAAGAACTCCAGAAGGAAAGTCGGCCCTGGCTTTAGTGTTAACTGAGCTGTCGAGGGCTGGGCAGCAGATCGCGAAGGCTGGTGCAGGAAGAGGGAGGGAAGTCCACAGCTGGGCGTCACGGAGCCGCCAGGGAATCCAGCTGCCCACCTCTCCATTACTGACGCTGGAAGAGCCGCTGCCTCTGCTGGGAATGCAGCAGACCCAGAGGCCTGAGAGGCTGGGTGAGGTCCAAATGGGCGCCGAAAGGATGGTTTAGCCCGGCTCTGGTCTGGGGAGAGGCAGGGGCTGGAGAGAGCTCACCAGACCCGCACCGAGCGCCCAGTAGCCAGGCAGCCGGCTCCTGCCATCCCCTCCCACACGTTCCTAGCCCGGACTACAACTCCCGGGGTGCACCGCGCTGGCCGTCGCCGCCACGCCCCTCCTCCCGCACCATCCCCATCCCCGTCTCCATCCCCATCCACCTCCTCCAGTCCAGGACCTGCTGCAGCCCAAGCTTGGGGTGCCGAGCGTGGTGGGGAGAGGAGCGGGGCGGGCGACCCAGAAGACGGCGGCGCCGCGGCCTCTCCCCACCAGGCGGCCTCGGATCCCACTGGACACTGAGGGCACGGCGACCGCGCCTCTAGAGTCGCCCCACGCCGACCCCTCCCCTCTTCTCTAGACTTCTTTCCCATCCTTCTCGCCTTTACCCTCCCCACCCTCCCTAGGGTTCCGGACCGCCGCCGTCTCCTCACTCCCAGACCGGCCCTTCTCGGCTCCCCTCTTGCCTAGGGAGATGAGATGAGCCGGTGCCCCCGTGTCCTCCTCGCCGTCCCCGGCACGGTGCCCGTACAGTGCCCGTGGTGGGGAGGGAGCACTCCACGGCCCCTCCGTGACGCCCCTCCCGCGGGCCTCCACCCAACTGGAGTCCCTGGGCCATGTCCCAGGGGACCCAGCCAGGGGCTGGGCTCTAGAGCTGGGTGGGTGGAGAGGAGGAAAGACGGGGCCTTGGGCGCCTCTGAGATGCTCCCAAGCACCAGTGGGGGTCGAGCAAGGTTCAGGCAACCGGGCGGCAGGCATGATGCCCTCGCCTAGTGACTCCAGCCGCTCGCTGACCAGCCGGCCCAGCACCAGGGGCCTTACCCACCTCCGCCTCCACCGACCCTGGCTGCAGGCCCTGCTCACGCTGGGGCTGGCCCAGGTGCTCCTGGGCATCCTGGTGGTCACTTTCAGCATGGTGGCCTCCTCCGTCACTACCACCGAGAGCATCAAGAGGTCCTGCCCTTCTTGGGCTGGATTCTCGGTGAGTTGGGTGTACAGCCCTTGGGTCGGGGAGGCTCCTCGGGCCCCACCCCTCCACACAAGCGGCCAGTCCAAATCCTGGCCTCTTCTCCCTGTTCTGGACCTCTCCTTCCTTACAAGGCTGGGAGGGTACACCCTGTGATGAGGGGTGCCTCCCTTGCCAGGCTGAACCTGTGCCCACCCGCTCTGTCCCCAGCTGGCGTTCTCCGGGGTGGTTGGCATTGTGTCCTGGAAGCGGCCATTCACTCTGGTGGTAGGTGCCAGGGTCTGTTGCCCACTGGGAGGCAGGTGCCCAGCACCTAAGGGATGCCCATGTATGCCCTGGAGAAGGGAATTGGCTCTCCAGTTCATGCCAGCCAAGCATGAATGTGTGAAGCAGGGTGGCTCTATCTGTGCTAGAAGAGTACTCCTGAGAGTCCCGCCCTGAGTCTGCACCCTGTTTCCCCAGATCTCCTTCTTCTCCTTGCTCTCGGTGCTCTGTGTCATGCTCAGCATGGCTGGCTCCGTTCTCTCCTGTAAGAATGCTCAGCTGGCCCGAGACTTCCGAGACTGCTCTATGGTGAGATCTGAGGAGGGAGATCAGGAAAAAACGGTGGGAGAGGTGTGCAGGACACCTGGGTTCGTCCTGACTCAGGCTGCCTCACCCTCCCCACTCCCACTCAGGAAGGAAAGGTCTGTGTGTGCTGCCCCCCTGTTCCCCTACTCCGGCCCTGTCCAGAGTCAGGGCAGGAACTGAAAGTGGCCCCTAACTCCACCTGTGATGAAGCCCGAGGGGCCCTCAAGGTGAGCATGCACCTCCACCTCCGCCATTCCTTCCTCCCTGACCATCCTCCTGGTTCTCACCTTGCCTCCCCTCCTGGGGTCCTCACAGGCCAGAAACATGTGAGATTTACTCCTCCCTAGGCCCCTCTCACATCCTCTTTCTCTTCCCCCAGAACCTACTCTTCAGCGTCTGTGGGCTCACCATTTGTGCTGCCATAATCTGTACCCTCTCAGCTATTGTTTGCTGCATCCAAATCTTTTCACTGGACCTCGTGCACACGGTGAGGGGGAGCCGGGGTCAATGCCAAGCACGTATATGATGGGGGGCAAGGGTGTGTGGGCTGGCACTGGGCTTGAGGGGACAGTGGCTACAGCGCTGGCTTCTGAGCACCAGGGATTGTGGGCCACCTACTAGGCAAGTCTGTTGTATGGATGTTCAGGGAGTCCAAGAGAGGGTGAGGAGAGGAATGACAGGATAAGAGAAGTACGTGATGCCAGCCTGGGAGAGGGGCATTAGAGAGGGACTATAGGTTGGGCGGAGTCAGGAAGTTCTTGGATGGGGATGCGGATAAAGGATTGATGTTCTGGTGGGGAGAGAGAATAGGTGGCAATTCTGGGTGTAGACAGGGCCATAAAGAAAAGGAATTTCTAGGTGGGCAAGGCTGGCACTGGAGATCTTGGGTAGGGTTAGAGGAGGAGCTGGTTCTGGCTGAGGGAGCGGCCAGAACTGAGCTTCTCAGAGGAGGCAGGACCAGAAAAATGTAGGTGAGAGAGGAGTGTGGGAGCCAAGGAGCTGAATTCCCAGAACCCAGGCTTGCTGACCTGCTTGCTCCCAGCAGCTGGCACCTGAGCGCTCAGTCTCAGGCACCCTGGGGTCTCTGGGCTGTACGTCCTCGCCCCCAGCGCCGCTTCTGCACACTATGCTGGACTTGGAAGAATTTGTACCTCCTGTGCCCCCACCGCCCTACTATCCCCCAGAGTATACCTGCAGCTCAGAAACAGATGCACAGAGGTGAGACGTGGTGAAGCCTTGCTGGGGGAACCAACGAAGGGGGCTGCAGCTGCAGCCTGGATCGGTGAGAAGGGATCTTTGTGGAGTAGTTCTTTTCCAGGCTCTGACCCTCTCCCTCCTCCTGCCAGCATCACCTACAATGGCTCCATGGACAGTCCGGTGCCCTTGTACCCTACCGATTGCCCCCCTTCTTACGAGGCTGTCATGGGGCTCCGAGGAGACAGCCAGGTGAGAGCAGGGCTTGGTACAGGCTGGGGGCCGGGATGAAGCCTGAAAAGCTGAGTGAGCTGCTGTTGCTGGATAAAATAATAATAGTTCTCCTGCTCTCTGGCATTAGGAAACCCACCTGTCATCTTTGATCTTCCCTAGAGCCTGGTGAGATGGGTGGGGTAGGAATTATTATTTCTATTTTACTGAGGTGGAAACTGAGGCCCACATGAGTGACTTGTACAGTGACAAAGCTGGACTGGAATCTAGGTCTCCAAAGTCTGTCCAGCACATCCGGGTGTCCCTGTCTGTGTGTAAAGCTGGCCCCTTGACCCTGTGTCTTCTGCAGGCCACTCTGTTTGATCCTCAGCTTCATGATGGCTCCTGCATCTATGAGCGAGTGGCCTCCATTGTAGATGGTGAGCAGAGAGTGGGGAGGGTGGTCAAGGGCCAAGCTGCCTGGGATAGCAGCTGGGTGGGGGCAAAGAAGGGGGAGGCAAGGCTAAGTTGGTGTTTTAGGTAAACGAGGGCGGTGGCTTCTTGGAACCCTGGACGTACCTGTCTCTGAGATAAAACTGGAGGCAAGGTGGCCCCCCGGGGTGGGGGGCCGGGCCTGAGAAAAGAGGAACTTGCCTGGACCCGGCCAGACTGGTGCTCCCCAGCGCCCCCTGCCGCCCACAGTGTCCATGAATAGCGGGTCTCTGGTGCTGTCAGCCATCGGCGACCTCCCCGGGGGTTCCAGCCCGTCGGAAGACTCGTGCCTGCTGGAGCTGCAGGGCTCCGTGCGCTCCGTTGACTACGTGCTCTTCCGCTCCATTCAGCGCAGCCGCGCCGGCTACTGCCTCAGCCTGGACTGCGGCCTGCGGGGCCCCTTTGAGGACAGCCCCCTGCCGCGGAGGCCCCCTCGGGCTGCCCGCTCCTATTCCTGCTCCGCCCCTGAGGCCCCGCCCGCACTGGGTGCCCCCACGGCTGCCCGCAGCTGCCATCGGCTGGAGGGCTGGCCGCCCTGGGTAGGACCCTGCTTCCCCGAGCTGAGGCGGCGGGGCCCCCGGGGCGGCAGCCGGCCAGCTGCAGCCCCTCCCACCCGAGCCCCGACCCGCCGCTTCAGCGATAGCTCAGGTTCCCTCACCCCACCGGGGCGCCGGCCTCCTCATCCGGCTCTCCCGCCACCGCTGCTGCTGCCACGGTCCCACAGTGACCCGGGCATCACCACCTCCAGCGACACCGGTGAGCCTCCCCCCGTCCCCACGCCACCCGAGGTTCAGGAGAGGGCAGGTTCTGAGAGTTAGAGGGCCAGTGATGCCCACCAGGACTAGGGACACCGTTGAGGTCCCCGAGGAGGAGGAAAGGATGAGTTCCTTCCTGCAGTAGACACCTCTGAGTGCTCACCTCCTAAACACAACATCAATAGCTTGGTAGCTGAAAGAGGAGCATTTGTTGCTGAAACCCAATTCCACAGTTCCCAGCTTGGGCTAATTACCTACCCTCTCCAAGCCTCGATTGCTCACTGGTGAAACAGGTGTAGTAATAGTATCTCAACCATAGGTACCATAGAGGCACTGAAAGGTGACATAATGCAAGTAAAATCTTAGCGCTGGCACTGAAGTGCCCACTGGTACAGTATGTGCCCTGTGCTAGGGAGGATGCAGCTGTGATCTGTACCG